CATTTGTTTACTTGAAATTCAGTTTACCTTGGCAGCCCCTGTATTTTCCCTGGCTGTATCTGGCCACTCTGGGAAGCCGGGGGTGGTGTGGGGGGAGTGGAGGGAGAGAGGAGAGAGGACGTGGGGGTGGACGGTGGAGGAGAGCTCCTGACCCTCCCTGCTGGGCTCCGGCAGAGTACAAGGAATGCTTCTCCCTGTACGACAAGCAGCAGCGGGGGAAGATAAAAGCCACTGACCTCCTGATGGTGATGAGGTGCCTGGGGGCCAGCCCGACGCCCGGGGAGGTGCAGAGGCACCTGCAGACGCACGGGATAGGTGAGTGAGCCGGGAGGGAGGAGTCTGGGCTGGGGGGTGGGCCCTGAGTCCTGCGGCTGTGGTCCTGGGAGGGGCCCAGCAGGTGGGGGTGTGAACAGCTCAGAAGTTTGAGGGGCAGGTGGTGGCTGTGGACCACGTGGGCTTCCTTGAATCCTCACAGCAACTGGTGACACCCCATCTCACTAAGGATGGATGGCTCTAAGCATTCCAACCAGGTGATCACAAACCTGTGGTCCAGACAGTGCTGACAGTGACCACAGTGTCGTTCTGATAGAACAGTGTCTCGTTGCTGAGTATCTGTCGTGTGCTTAGCTCAACAACCCGATGAAGGAGGCTGTATCCTAGCCCGTCTCACAGATAAAGATCAAAGTCCAGGGCCCAGGAGGCAACCTGGCTGAGTGTTGAAGCCAGTGGTGGAATCAGGCTTGGAACCCAATTCTTCCCATTTCCAAGACCAACCTCCTAAAAACTGGGCAAAACTAGGAGGAAAAAAATGGACGAAGACCCACCCAAGACGTTAGCAAGTGGCTCTGGTGATGGGGTTATGGGTGATTTTCATTCCCTTTATTTATTGTTTCCTGTATTTTTGACAGTGGGAACATAACAGGACTTCTACAACCAGAAACAAGTTTTATTTTGTATAAAGAAAAAGAGGGGGGGTGGCAGAGGCCGGGATGGCTCTTGGCATCGGTAGCTGGACACTCAGGGAGGAAAGAGGAAGGGGTGGCTTGGAAAGAACACTTGCTCAGGAGCCCGCCTGGGCCTCGGTTTCCTCATCTCTCAGATGGGGAACCACCCCCTGCTGGGGTCGTCCTGAGGTCGCACTGAGGGCTCCTGCCGCAGTGCCCGGAGCCCGTCCTGGGGCAGGCCAGGCTGCGCCACCTCGAGCCTGGTGCTAAGGGTCCCTGTTTCCATTTCCGGAGGGGTGGTAGTTGCCTTTGGTTTTTGTCTCCTTCAAACAGGAAGTGGTGGTCGGGGCAGTGCTGGTTTCCTGCCATTGTAGCCCAGCTGGGGCCAGGGCTGGGGTTCCCAGGCCCGTTTGGAAGAGGGGCGTGGGCAGGGGAGACCGGGTTGCAGGCTGCAGTGAGGGGAAAGGCAGGTGTGCAGCCCGGGTGGGACAGAGGCTTGGGGCCACAGCTGCGGGTCACCTGTCCATCTTTGTGGATGTGCCGCGGTGGCTGTCGAGAAGGGGTGGACACGATGGTGCACTTCCTTCCAGTGCAGGCAGGAGAGGAGCATCCAGAAGGGAGCAGAGGAGGTGGTGCTTCATCCTGGTCCTGCCACTGCTCTGAGGTGACTCCACGCTTTAAGCTTCTGCCTCCTTAGTGGGCAAAATGAGAACTGAAGTCACTAAGCGTTGTTGGGAGGGTTCAGTGAGGCACATCCATAGTGGGAGCTCAGCAGGAACAGACTGCATCCACTTCCCCATGACCACTGCCACCATCACGGCTCTTTCTGAGTTAGGTCGCCCCCGAGCTGGCCATGCAGGCTGGGGCCGGAGACCAGCTGGCTTCCCCACGAGGACTCTTTCCTCCCTGCTTACTCTGCTACTTTGGGGATTTCTCAGACAGAAATGGAGAGCTGGATTTCTCTACTTTCCTGACTATGATGCACGCGCAGATAAAACAAGAGGATCCAAAGAAGGAGATTCTTTTGGCCATGTTGATGGCGGACAAGGAGAAGAAAGGCTACATCATGGCGTCTGAGCTGCGGTCAAAACTCACGAAACTAGGAGAGAAGCTGACCCACAAGGAAGGTAATGGCCTCATTCATTCCCTCTCTCCCAGCAGTGGGAAAGGATTAGGGAGTTAGGGGAAGGGCACCAAAACCCAATCCATACGCACCTGTGGTGCGTAGGCACTGCATTTGATGGATGCCCAGAAGGTGTTGAGTTTGAACTCTGGAGTAGAGCCTGGGGCAGAACTCGGGGGCCTGGGGGGTGACAGGGGAGAGGTTGGCCCAGGGTGTAGGGAAGGCCCCGGGGAACTGGCTAGGATTAACTTGGGCATCACCCCGTGTTTGAGCTTTCACTGTGGCCCTTCATTTTGTGCCCCCCGCCTCTGATGAAAGAAACAGGTGCCGTGAGTGGCTGGTGAGTAACAGGGCTGGGAGCCAAATGCAGGTCTGTGACATTTGTACCCCTGCCCCCCTCAGGCTCTCTCAACACAGCTGTTGCCTGAAGCTGCTACTGTTGCCAAGAATTTCTAAATTGAGATGCTACTGTTCCCTTGTCACGATTCAGCCAGCACTGAGAAGGGGTGTGTGCGCGGTGGCCTTTGCCCCACGCCGTCCATACTTTCCTGCCCCAGAGCAGGACCAGGGGCCTGGGGCTTCTGGGAAAGCCCGATGTACGTGATAAGGGTGACCTTGCTGCTGGGGCCTTTGCCGGCGTCCCCCAGCCTGCCTGCCTGGCGGGGCCCGGGGCCTGGCCACAGCAGCCATCCTGGGTTGCTGCCAGCGTCCACAGCCACCAACCCCAGAAGCTGAGGTTCTAGTTAGGCCACTGGCTTCGCCTGTGATTGGGGCAGGAGGAGCTGGGCTCGGACACACTGGATGGAGGAAAAAGGCTTCAATAATGCTGGGCCTTTATTTAGCTTTTGGTTAAATCACAACAAACCAATGGAGGATTTGTAAGGGTGCAGTTTGAATGAGACTTGAATCCTGACTCCCCTTCCTTCTGGGGAACCTCAGATGAGTTTCTTAACCTCTCTCACCCTCCTCAGTTTCCTTGTTGGGAAACGAGGTTACAATAGACAATCCCTCAGGTCCTGTCTTCCAAGAACTAACATTCTATAAAGCAGTCTGCTGAGATTTTATCTGTAGTCACAAAGGCACAGCGCGCAAAGCATGTAAAAATAGTGCTACCGAAGGCAGATGGCGTGTCCCTCGCTTTTTCAGGCTGGCAGCTCTCATGATCTTGCCTTTCATTGCGGCTGCTTTACTGTGCACAGGGAACCACGGCTCTCCTTCCCTCCCAGGCTCTGAGGACACTGCTTGGCCTTTTAGGTACCGGGTCGGGTGTTAGCAGAGAGGGCCAGCAGGGGCCTTAATTCTTACGGCTTAATGATCTGTCTGCAGCGCCACTGCAGCCCCCAAATTAGAACACGCCTCTCATTTGTTGATGGAGTAGGAGAGACATTTCAGGGAAACTGGCGACGTGTTCCAGACAAGCAGGGCGACCGATGTCCCTCCCTGTTGCTGTGGAAGACAGGAAAGGTGATACTAGAAGAAAAACTCCCTTACCCTGGGTGGCCGAAGGAAAAGCTTGTTTTATTACGGAAGCATCCTGGGAGCAGCTGGAGACGGCTGCAGGGGGGCCTCCCGCCCGAGGCCTGGGCCAGGCCGACGCGGGGACCCCAGTTCCTCACGGGCTTGCAGGGAGCCGCCGAGTTCCCCAGGAAGCAGCGTCAGGCTGTAGCTGCCCCTCTTCTGGGCAGCTGGGGGCCGCGTGGCTGGCACCGGAGCTGGTGTTGGGCCCTGTCCCCTGGGACAGGTTTAGCCAAGTGGCTGATGGGTAGAAGCTTCTCCGTGAAACAAGATAAATTACAGTCTTAACGTTCTAAAAATACTATCTAAAAAATACAGTACTATCAGCTTAGGCACAGAGCACAGTAACTACATTTTGGAGGAGGACGGCGAGGCAGGAAGTCACAGGACCCCTCCTGACGGCGCAGCGTTGGGTCGGGGCCGTCGGGGGCTGGGGAAGTTGACGTGGGGCAGGGAGACAGTTTTGTAAGAGGGTGAGGATGGTTCTGAGAGGCCACCGCAGAGAAGTGTAAGCTGAAATGGCTCTTGTCAAAGCCTGGGACAAGCTAGTATTTTATCCTAGGAATCCAGAACCAGAAGAAACAAGTAAGTGTGTTTTTTTTTTTTGAGCAATGTCAAAGAACAATGGCAGTTTTGTAGGCTTTGAGCTTCAGGCACAGTTCAATTTATCTTCTTATCCTATCCTCACCCTCCAAACACACTTTAAAAAAAAGATGATGGTGGCAGGTACCGCTTGTCACCAGGTCCCCTCTTGGGGTGGGGGATGTCGATTTGGAAGGACAGGCAGGCCAAAGTCTGGGCTCAGGGGGCCCAGGATGGAGCTGCAGTGGGCATCTGGTCTGCAGGGGCTGAAGGAAGGTAAAATTCATGCCAAAGTTTTCTGGAAATATTGGCACGGGGGTCAAGTATTTTCTGAAGAAGGGGAAAATAAAAGAGAAAAAAAAAAAGGCAAAAAGTGGCCTCAGGGTCTGACTCCTTACCAGTACACCTCCCTACCCTGGCCCCTGCCAAAAACAAGAAACAAAAAAACTTGATTAAGTCAAAATTGAATCCGTGGTCTCCAAGAGGCAGGGGGTGGATTGTCCTGTTCTGTTCACTGGTTTACCTCCCAGTCTATGAGAACAGTCAATTGGATGCTCAGGGAAGACCTCTGGGGAGCCCCAGCCCCCAAGAACTGGATGTCCTAGAACGTAACACTGGAGCCAAACTGAAAAATTCATGTGATTTATTGCAGTGGACGATCTTTTCAGAGAAGCAGGTATCGAACCGAACGGCAAAGTGAAGTATGATGAATTTATCCACAAGATCACCATTCCTGTGCAGGACTACTGACTGAGGAGGAGGCCAGAGAGGACTCCCCTGGGCCTGAAAACTCAGACTGATGAATTTTTAACAAGGAAAGTGTTCCTGTCACGCTAAGGGGATGGCAAACACAGCAAGATGACGTCCCTGACTACAGCAGAGGGTGACTTAACAAGGAAAATGAGTGATTTCAGTTATGGTATTCATGTGTCTTTAATAAAATATTTTTATTGATTTTAATAACTACCATTAGTGGAGCCCTTGACAGCATGGAAAGAGCCTATGGTTTGAAGTTGGGCCAGGGTTCCAGTCCTGACTCTGCCGCCTCCCAGCCTTGTGGCTTTGGGCACATCATTTCATCTTTAAAGCCTTAGGATGCTCACTGAAGTTGGATTCCTACTTCTTACTTCATGGAGCCTGTTGAGGATGGGTCTGAGATGATCTGAACATGCCTCTGCAAACTGTAAAGTCCTGTGCAACCCTGAGTTGCCATGATAGTGCTTCTCCTAAAAAAAAAAAGGGGGCAATTTACCAAAAGACACTAATCTGCATCTGGGTGCTGGAACAATCTTCCACGTTTCCAAGATAAAGCCAGTGCTAGCTGAGAAATAGCAACAGGCAGAGAGCTCAACCTATGGCAACATTTCCTGCAGCACCACAGGGCCACTTAGAAATCCTTATTCGCAAGGCACAGCGGTGGAGTTCGGGATGTTCACTTACAAGCAGGATAAGGTGAAAGCGCTCAGGTTAAAACAAAGCCTCGGCTTAACCCTGGCGAGAGCGACCTACCTTTACGCCCCTCACCAAAGGAACCCAGACGTGACGAGTTCCACTCCCCGAAGCCTTGCAGAGCTTGAGAAGACCCGTGAGGCGTCTGTCAGAATTTCGCGCTCTCCCCTGGCCGGTTATCAGGGGGATTTATGGGACTAGGTAAGTGGGCCAAATTGATCGTGGCTTTAAGCCATTTCCCCAGGACTAACAGACAGTAAATAAGGGGATGGAAGAGGCCATGGCCGTGACACAGGGGGGGTACTGGTCTGGCCGGGAGCTTTTCCAGCTCAAGTGGCTTGTAAGTTAGTTATGTAGCCAGGAGGTGCCAGGCTGGGGCTGCCTGTGCGCTCATCAAATTTGTGGCCACGCTGCTGGCGTCAGCACAGCCCTAAAAAGGGCTAGAGGCACACACTGGCATGTTGAGGGGGGAGCAGGGTAGAGCTCTAAGTGCAGAGGCTTTCATCCTTATATGTATCAAAATTGGGCTCTCAGGGCTGTGGCTTTGTCTAATGGCGCCTCAGTGGCTAAAGCAAAGGAAAACAAATTAAGAGGGAGGTGTGTCTTTTGGGCGGTTTACACAGGACACTGAGCTAAGGGCCAGGCACAAGGGAAACTGCAGGGGACAAGACAGTCTTGGTACAGCTATCCCCCGATGCTCCGTGACTTTAGACCAAACGGAGGTCCTGAGAAAGGAGAGCGGCTCTCATTTCCCCAACAGTGTAGCCGCCTGTGGGAGTGGGGAGGAACCCCCCGGAGCTGCAGGGGAGAGTTTTGTGGGGAGCAGGCAGTCAGTGGACAATTAAACACCAAGTAGGTAACTCTGTCTAGCTGGGAACCCCAGGTTCACACGGTGCGGGGGGCAGATCCACGTTCTGTGGGGTCTGGGGGTTCTCTGATTCAGCAGCCTGCTTTAGGAATATTACAGTAGAAACACAGGAGTCCTCGGGCTGCTCCCAGGAGCATGGATGAGGCCACAGCAAGTGAGGGGCCCCGGTCGGTGCTTTAACTTCATTACCTTCATGGTAAATCCACCTGAGGGCTGGCTGGATGTTGGCAACCCAGGGAGAACAGTTACATTTCACTTTCAGGCATGGCTCAAGGGTCCTAGCTCCACATTCCTTTTTTACACTCATCACGGACATCAGGAAGTTAGTCTTGCACAGCCAATCTGGAATACCAAGGATTAGACAGCAGGTATCTGATTTAGGTGGGACAGGAAAAGGAAGTTCTGGGCTACAGTAATAAATGAGGGCGCGTTCCCCCAAAGCTTTGTCTTTATGTGCCACTGAAGGGCACCTGTATGGTTTTAAAGCAAGTTTTATTAATCTCAGTTGCCTAACAGGAATCTGAAGTGTATCTTGCCAGAAGTATGGTGTGGGGGCCACCGGAAGCTGGGGCTCGCGTCCACCGACTCAGGGCTCCTGATGAAGGGTGTTCGTGGGGAGGATGCCCAGAGTCTGCGATGTGCTCTGATTTAAACCGCTACCCCAGGGAAGGCCTTGACCCTACCCCATGGCCCGATTCCATGCTCGTTCCTGAAATTCCAGTTAGTTTACCTAGCACCAAGTATTGTTTGCAAAAAAAGGCCATGGTGCTCTTGATAATCAAACTGCAGATTAATTTAACAGGTTTAAAACTAAACAGATGCTGTGGCTCATTACAAAGCTACGCCGTATTTCAGTAAGAAAGGGGAGTGATGGCTGCATATTCATTACTTACCTCAAAGCATGTTGCAAGAGAACGAGTAACGTGTCATGCTTTGAAATCTCTGGATCAAAGGGGCTCTGGAAGCACAAAGCAGTGTCACTTTTTTCTCATAAGGACTGTCCCCTTGTATACCCAGCAGTGTACTCTACAGAAGACAAAGTAACTGAAGGCTTTTCTTTTATTACATCTAAAGAGCTCTACATAAACAGGTAACATTCAATAGGTAAACAATTTTTTTTCCAATGCATGTAATAAATATTTTCCACTTGGTACTTTTATACAAACTGACATTGGTCTACTATACATTTTTAAAAGCCATTTTACTGGTTTGGCATGCGGTGTGGAAATTCTAAGAGAGAAAGTTTTAAGGCAATGAATCACAGATTTAAGTTCATGGAATTTATGGTAACTCTTATATCTGTTTATATACATTTTCCCCTTTGTTAATTAAACAATTAACAGCAGCACACTCTGGGACCACCGGCTCTTCTCTCCCTCCCTCTTTCTGAAATCTAAGCTTTGTGTTTTCTTTTGATTAAAAAACAGAATTCAACATGTATTGATAAAACAAAATTCGTACTAAAATAATTTCCAATGTGCTTTAAAGCCTGAAGATCTTGAAGTGTTTTCTGTGTTTAAAATTGGAGCTGTTTAAAAACAATGTTCTTTCCACAATTAGTCATTTAAAATTGGGATGTTTTCATTCAGTTTCAGACATCTGAATCAAAGGAAAATCTGCCAAGAAATCACATTTTTCAGAAGCTTAAGTGAATCTTTTCTGAGTCAGTAATAATAGTGTGATGTCTAAGTTAATAGAAGTAGAAAACTTTTAATGCTCAAAATAAATTAGTCAACTGAGCGTGGCATGGTTAAGGTCCAGATTGTTTTAAAAAGATGTGTTCAATAATGCCCAAAACAATTAAAAGCCACTTCAACCCTGCTAGTCAAACAGCTATTTTATCAAAGATGTGTGTGTGTGCGTGTGCGTATACACACACGCACACACACACAGAGTACTGTACAGAAATACAAACATGTGCACACCTATTATAAATGACCAAGGCAAGGGGGATGGTGGCAACTTGACTAAAGATTCTGAGAACTATTATTTGTCCACAGACAGCATGTCAGTGTTAGCAAGGGTGGGGGGAGTAACGGTGGGCTAAGAAAAAAAGAAATGACTATATGCCTTTTTTTTTTTTTAAACTTAGAAGATAAAGCTGCAGTGCATGACCCTACCAGTAATTACTATGAACCATCAAAGTCTAATACCGGCCATGAGACCAACGGAGTGATGGCCACAGCTGTCACTGCTACCACTACTGCTACGTTTTAGAAAGTTAACAACTGAAAGGAACAGACTCCTTAGAGTGGAATGAACTAAAATAAAAAGACAAACCAAACGGTTAGTTTCTCCTATGGAGACATGACCAAAGCCACTAGACAGACATGTATTTCTCCCTGTTACCTGTTCTTCCCTTAGGTTGGTAGAATGCAGGACGCTGAGGGAAATAAACCCTTTCCAAAACCGGGCTGAAGAAAGTAGAGGGACGGGTTTTCAACTGGATCATTCAAAGAGTTTGTAATTCAGCATCAGACACAAAGTTATTGATCAGAATTTTGAGACCACTAACGTCGACAAAAAAAACCCAAAACACCTATTCATTTTATCTTAGGTAGTTGAATTAAGAGAAAGTTTCCTATTACAATGTGAAATAAGAGGCAACTCCCCACAATTTAAGTAATTTCTATCCCAATCTGAATTTAGACACAAATTATAATACTATTAGATATTAGTCTAAGTTAGCATGGCAATGAGAGTTCTAAAGTGTTTACTCACCATTACACCAGATTCATTTAAAAACTTAACTATTTTGTTTTAAGTGACAATGAACTTTTTTTTAATTGCAAATCGTTTAGTGACTGTAAATCAGCCATGTATGTGTGGAATACACATGCGCAGGGGAAGACTATATAACTCACTTGTCACTCACACACACTTGTCTATAAATACATATATACACACACACATATACATAGCAATACCAGCTTGTTTTTCAAAATTCAAGTCAACAATTTAGTGGCAGAGAGATGCTGCAAAAACGTATTATTTTTAGGTGCCACACAGTCGGGTGAACCATTAATTTTATCATACAATTGAAGACACAGCCATCTTGAATTCTAACTGGATTAAAGCAGGTCAATTTGTTAACACTGCAAGGTTCAGAATGACAATTTTATACACAAAGGTGGTCCTTCATCAACTCTGAGAACAACTCTGAGAACATTAACATGGTTGTGATATAAAAATCCAGTCTGGAAAACTGGTAATCATTATGCCCCTTCTTTACCTTTTCCGTTAAACCTTTCAATCAGCTAAAAAATATATTCCACACCTTCAGATATTACCTGAAGAACGTATTATCTTCTCTGATGACAATTTTGGAACACAAGTAGAACCACTTTTTCCTTCCCGCCAACCCTCACTCATCTCCTGAAAAACAGTTTTCAATATATTTACATGTTCCATTATTAGTAAGAATAGATCAGACTGATCCATGAGTTCTTTAAAAAAAAAAAGTGACTTTCCTATGTCATGCTTGTCTTTAAAAGGTGAAGAAAAAAACAAAACAAAACAAGGTAACTAGGCTAAGAAAGTAAGTACGCTCAGAACCAGAGAGTAAAAGCGACTAAGGGTCAAGCCCATTTTGAATTTCGTTTATCAGATGATGGATTTCTACGGACTGACATGTGTGGTGTGTTGTATTTTCTGAAGAGAAGTTACTTTTAGGATAACTGACTGTCTTTTTTGAGGTGATGTAGCCTTACCTCTGTCAGCTGCACAAGACACCCAACAGGGCTTTCTAAGCTATTTTTAACTTCCTACTTTGGTATCAAGATCTTATATGAAAACTTTTTACCCTGTGGCCAAAAAAAGTAGGTGTTCACAGACTTGGTTTAAATACATAATACTGGCAATCCAAATTCAGAATAAAGAACTAGACTAAAGTGTGTTATTCACAGACCTGCGAAGCCTACCTTACCAGACGGTTTCCTCCCATCTCTGAAACACATTCTCAGGGGGTATCTAGCAAATAAGAGAGAACATGTGATGGAGAACATGCAATTGGGATAGTTGATAAAGATGCTCGTATGTGAGTTCAAGACCTTCAAAGCACTTTGAAAAAAGCAGGCAACTGATTTATCAACTGAATGCAAACTCGGGAGAAGGAACAGTAATGACAGAAAAATACACACAGACACACACTGAACGCACACACGCACAAGCTATGTCCTGAAAATACACAGGGAATGCAGTGGGACAGATGAGATTTATAACTTAAGGCTGGATGAAATATGCACACACACAAACAGAATCCAAGTCTGTCATTTTTAGAAAATGGAAATTAAAACTATCCTCCCCGGCCCCCTCCCCACAACAAAGAAAAGCCCACAATTTAAAACTTCATACATGCAATTCCTTTTCTGTTATTGCAAATAAAATAATGCCATTGAAGTAAAATAAAACCAAAACCATAGGACAAATGATGGGGGGAAAAAAAAAGTCTTCAGAATCCAGAAAAAATGAACTGAAGGTGGTTTGTGGGTACTTTTTTTTTCTTTTTTCTTTTCTTTCCTTTTTTTTTGTTTTTTACAAGTATTTTTATCAGACAGGCAGTCTTAGATTTATATACAAAAGTAAAACTGAAAATATAGTTTTGTTCTCTGTACATTTCTTTTAATTTTTTTTTCCCTAAAAAAAGGAAAAAAAAAAAAACACGCTTGTGTACTTTTCCAAACAGAATAAGGTAAAACATAGCACAAAGTTCTCCTCTTTCTGCCAAGTTCATTTAATCTGGGGTGGGGACGGGAGCAGCAGGGGCAAGAGAATCAGTCCAACGAGATAATGTCCGGTATGATGCCGAAGATGGACGCCGTGTCCGCGCCGCTCCTGCCGGCCACGGCGTGGCTGTGGCTCTCCCGCAGGCTGCTGGAGGACACGAGGCTGCCGTTGCTGCCGCTGCTGCTCCCGTTGGTGGTGGGCAGCGAAGCGCTGCCGCCCGCGCTGAGCTGATCGAGGAACATCTGGGAGGAGGTATATGGGAAAAACCGCGACGAGTGTAGGAGGTCTTGATCATCTGAGACCGCGGCGGCGGCGGCGGCGAGGAGCGAGGTGTTATAATGCTGGGAGGCGAGACGAGAGACCGAAAAATACATAAGGAAATAAAGTTAGTTATACTCATAAAATAATCAGCTTTCTTCTCAGCAAGACAAAGTCTGAAATTTAATATATTCTGAGTACCTGGTGTTTCTGAAGTAAATATTTAGTTACCGTTTTGCGAAAGCAAATGACTTAGTAATGATCACATCATTTTTTTTTAAATTGAAATAGCTTCTTTAAAATAAATTTTTGTTTTGTTTTTAATTTTGGGGGGAGAAGGTAATTAGGTAATTTATCTATTTATTGTTTGTTTTCATCGGGATTGAGCCCAGGTCCTCATGTGTGCTGAGCAGGCACTCTGCCACTGAGCTATATATACACTCCCTCCTTCACATCATTGATCTTAAAAGACACTTTTTGTATCTGAAACTGGGGGCAAATCTGTTTTACTGTTTTTTGTTTTAACTTGTATTGCAAGCAATTCTCAAAATGCTATTTCCAAACAGGCATATGCTCAGAAGCTACAGGATGGAGAACAGTCCACTTTCTTCCTCTTTGGGAGATCCTTGGCTAAGCGATGTATCAGTCAATATGACTGCCCTGTTTCTTTATAAAACAGCACTGGAAACCAACAAATAGAGACTGTTTTTATTATATATTTAGGTGCAGCTGAAACAAAGGAACTATTACTTACAATTTTAAATCCATAACAATAAATGGGTATGACTACTATGAATTTTCTAAGGAAATTTCCTCTCTTGGCTACATACTA